AATGTTATTAACATTTGTATTATAGTCATCAAAGGTTTATAATACGTTTATGAATAGTGTGCATTATAAGGCTATTATAAAGTTAAAATACATTTTAACTAAAATGTACTTAAAAAGCATTTTAAGAAATCTTTATGAATAAGGCCGTATGTATATATATAAATATATATATATATATATATATGTAGGAAAGTAGGTATGACAGCGGCGCAAAAGTAATTAAAAGTAGTAGAGTTACGTCGCTGTCATAAGAAAAGAGCGCAGGGCAACTCCGTTGCTTTGAGGTGTGAGTGGAAGTAAAAAGGAGTTAGTTGGAGTGAGCAGCTCGTAGAGGAAAGAAGTATATTCGTGCGTGCGTGTTAAAATTAGTTGAAAAAATAACTATTAAAATTAGTTTAAAAATAACTATTAAAATTAGTTTAAAATTAACTATTAAAATTAGTTTAAAATTAACTATTAAAATTAGTTTAAAATTAACTATTAAAATAAACTTAAGGTCTAGAACCTACAAACTTTGGGGGCTCAACCTAAGAGTCAAATAAAAAAAAATGGTGTTTATGTAATGCATATGTGTAAATTTAATATATGAACGAGTTTATAAAAAAAAATGCAAAAGGTGTGATTTAAGAAACATCGAAATTTTTAAACTTTGAATGATTGAAAATTGTTATTTACACTGAAGTTATTAAAAGCAAATATGTGACATAAATTAATAAATAAAAAATTTGAATAAAGTTAAACTAAAAGCGACAAACATAACAATTAAAAACTAACTAAAATAACTGTGGAGTTAAACAAAATTATGTTTGATCCGTTCTAAGCGAGCTGCATATTGTGAAATACACAAATTAAAAGGAAAAGAAAAAAAAGAAGAATTGCTGTTATTAGTTGGCGTCGGCGTGGTGATCGAAGTTGTTAGCAAGCTGTGTGTGTGAGTACATGTGCTTTGTTAAACGTAGTAGTAAACGCAGTACATACAGAGGTGAATGCAGTCACTGAGGTGGTAAAACAAACAACGCAAAAGCTGTTCTGACGAAGTTGGCGAGTGACGAAGGTGATGCGTAGCGGGTACTGGCGGTGCAGTGGAGACTGGCAGAAATTTTTATATTTTGTTTAAGTACACATTTTGTTTTATTTGATTGCGTATTGAAATTGATACGTTTTAATTTTTTAGCTTGTAATTTATATATTATTTTTTTAAACTTATTTACTTTTTAGTCATAATTTTAATTTTTTTTGAAAAGATTGTAATAACGCTGGCACCATGAATATTAACAGTATCATTGCGCTGAGTATAGAAGGGTTAAGAGGGGAGCTTAGAAGATTAAATTTAAATACGGAAGGCAAAAAGCAAGAATTGAGAGAAAGATTAATTGATCATTATCAATTAGAAACGCGCGAAAATGTAGAAGACAAAGAAATACAGTTTGACAAAATGGCAACTGTTAAAACGATACAAGAACGTTCACTGTTTACGCTTCGTGATGTGGAAGAATCTCTCACTACATTTGCAGGGGTGGGTCAACCAAGTGTTAAGATTTGGGTAGAACAATTAGAAGAAATGGCTATTAGCGTAAACTGGAACGATCAACAAAAATTTATCTATGCTAAGCAGCTACTCAAGGGCGCAGCCAAATTGTTTGTCAGAAGCCAGTTAGAGGTAAAGGATTGGGTGTCGCTCAAAAAAGCATTAATTGCAGAATTCACAGTAAATTTAACAATGAATGAGGTTCATGCCATGTTAAAGGGACGAAAGAAAAAACCAACTGAATCATTAAGAGAATATTTGTATAGTATTATTGAAATAGCAAATCAAATTCAGTTAGATGAAATGAGCATAATAGACTATTTTATAGAAGGAATTCCAGACAGTAGAGCAAACAAAACCATATTATACCAGGCAACGAGCATGAATGATTTAAAGAGTAAGCTAAGTATTTACGAAAAGATCAGGAGAAACACATACTCGTCATTAAACACTACAGGAGGGAAATTTCAAACAGAACATACTGGGGTACAAGACATAAAAATAGAAAGAGAGGATAGAAAAGATGGAAAGCGTTGTTATAGGTGTGGAGGTAAGGATCATATTGCTAATAGTTGCAAAATCAAAGATTATAAATGCTTTAGATGTCAAGAGGTAGGGCACAAAGCATTCGAATGTAAACGTCCAGAAAAGGTAGTAGGAAATAGAAACAAAAACAATTCTCTCGTTATAGAAACTATTAATGATGTGCGTCGAAATGGAACTAATAGAGTTTTGAAAGATTTAGGAATAAATGGGAAGAAGGTACGTGCTCTAATCGATACGGGTAGCGATGTCTGCATCATCAGACACTCCACTTGTTTGCGGTTAGGAAACATTGTGTTGGAAGCTAGGAGAAAAACATTGACGGGTATAGGAGGAAAAGAGATTAAAACATTAGGTAGCTTCATAACATTAGTCGATTTAGATGGTATCCAAACCAGTTTGAATCTTCATGTGTTAAACGATGATGATGTCCAATATGATGCCATAATAGGAAGCGATATCCTAGAAATAGTTGACATTTTGATCTCCTCAGATGATGTAAAGTTTTTGCGAAAGTCTCAGGAAAAACATATCGACTTTAATAAGGAAAATGTAAGAGAATGTGAAAATGAAGTTAGGAATCTCTATAACATTTGTGTGACAATGGAGCGGGATGAACCGGAGGTAGTGGTTCAAAGCCAGTTGAATCATTTACCAAAGGAAAGAAAAGAGGAGGTAATAAATGTTATAAAGCATTACAAGCCGAACAAGAAGATTAATAACTCCCCAGTAACAATGAAATTGATTTTAACTGATGAAGTGCCGGTATTTCATAGGCCAAGAAGGTTACCACTAGCGGATCAGCAGACTGTAGAATCTCAGATACGTGAATGGCTAAAGGAGGGTATTATTAAAGAAAGCATGTCAGAATATGCCTCGCCGGTGGTTCTAGTAGCGAAAAAAGATGGCTCCAAGAGGTTGTGCTGTGACTATAGAAAGCTAAATTCGAAAATAATTAGAGATAACTTTCCTATGCCACTAATAGATGATATTCTGCAAAAGTTACAGTCGGCTGTTGTATATAGCACATTGGATTTACGAAATGGATTTTTTCATGTGCCTATTGAAGAAGATAGTCGAAAATTTACGGCATTTGTGACGCATGGCGGACAGTATTAATTTTTATTTGCTCCATTTGGAATTAAAAACTCTCCAGCGGTGTTCACACGATACGTTTACGCGGTGTTGAGAGAATTAATAAAGAAAGGTGTAGCAATGGTATACATGGACGACATCATAATACCATCCCAAAATGAAGAAGAAGGAATGAGACGATTAGTAGAAGTGTTGGAGGTTGCTCAAAATTTCGGGTTAAACATTAAATGGGAGAAGTGTCAGATTTTAAAGAAGAAGGTTAACTTTTTAGGTTTTATCATTGAAAACTCGAGCATAAAACCAAATGAGGAAAAGCTAAAAGCTGTTAGAAATTTCCCAATGCCAAGAGATAACAAAGAAATTCAACGATTTTTGGGATTAACATCATATTTTAGAAAATTTGTGTATAATTATGCTGTAATTGCCAAACCATTAAGTGATTTGTTACGAAAAAACGTAAAATTCGAGATAAAAGACGAGCAAAAATTGGCTGCTCAGCAATTGAAAACAGCTTTAATTTCCGCTCCGATACTTAAGTTATTTGATCCAAAAGCAAAAACAGAAGTACATACGGACGCATGTAGCGATGGATATGGGGCTATTTTGCTGCAGTGGGGTGAAAATGCCCAGTTACATCCTGTTGAATTTCTAAGTCGGAAAACCTCATCAACGGAACGAAGATATCATTCATATGAACTGGAGGTATTAGCAATTATAGAAAGTTTAAAAAAGTGGAGATACTTTCTGCTTGGCATCAAATTTAAAATCGTTACCGATTGTAAGGCCTTCGCGTGTACATTGAAAAAAGATGATGTACCTACTAGAGTAGCAAGATGGGCTCTATTCTTGCAAGATTTTGATTACGAAATAGAGCATAGAATGGGCACTAACATGAAACATGTCGATGCACTAAGCCGTGTTTATTGTCTGTTGCTGGAAGATTCGTTGTGCCATAGAATAAAAAATGCGCAATTAAGCGATGACTGGACGAAAGCTGTGCGAAAAATTTTGGAAACTCAAAATTATGGCGATTTTTACTTAAAACACGATATATTATTCAAAGATAATGTTAAAGAACGGATGGTTATTCCTTCCTCTATGGAAAACGAAATAATTGAGATCGCTCATCGTCAGGGCCACTTTGGGTCAAAGAAAACTCAAGACATTGTTGAAAAAAATTATTACATATCAAATATAAGTCCAAAAGTAGACAAAGTAGTAAGAGGGTTTATCGAATGTTTAGTAGTGAACAGTAAATCAGGAAAAAAAGAGGGATTTCTTAATCCTATAGATAAAGGTAATAGACCATTGGAAACGTATCATATCGATCATGTAGGACCGTTGGATCAGACTAAAAAAAAATACAACTATATTTTGACAGTAGTAGACTCATTTTCCAAGTTTGTGTGGTTATACCCCACTAAAAGTGTAGGAGTAGAAGAGGTAATCGAAAGATTAAATAAACAATCGATGGTTTTCGGAAATCCTGCTGTGATTATCAGTGACCGAGGCACTGCGTTCACAGCAAGCAGGTTCAAAGAGTATTGTATGAACGAAGGGATCAAACACCTATTAATAGCCACAGGCGTTCCGCGGGGAAACGGCCAGGTAGAAAGAATACATAGAACAGTTATTACAATGCTCAGTAAATTATGTGTGAACTCGCCAGAAAGTTGGTACAAACACGTAGAAAGGGTACAACAAGCTATCAATAGCACTCCAGCTCGGAGTACTCAGTATTCTCCATTTAAAATTTTGACAGGGGTGGAGATGCGCATAAAAACTAATGTTGCATTAGGGTCGTTAATCACAGAATGTGTAATGGAAGAGTTATTTGAGGGAAGAAATGAAATGCGTGAACAAGCAAAAGAAAATTTACAGAAAATAGCTGAAGAAAACAGGAATACATATAACAAGGGTAGGAAAGAAGAAGTTAATTATGAAATAGACGATTTAGTTGTCATCAAACGTACCCAATACGGAACAGGACTCAAATTAAAACAGAAATATTTAGGACCGTATCGAATAGTAGAAAAGAAAAGACGAGGTAGATATGTAGTTGAGAGAGTCGGAAATGGCGAAGGATCAAAGAAATGTGAAACAGTAGCAGAACATATGAAAGCGTTTAAGGGGTCATCCGGGACGGATGACATGTCAGGATAGCCGAATGTAGGAAAGTAGGTATGACAGCGGCGCAAAAGTAATTAAAAGTAGTAGAGTTACGTCGCTGTCATAAGAAAAGAGCGCAGGGCAACTCCGTTGCTTTGAGGTGTGAGTGGAAGTAAAAAGGAGTAGTGAGAGTGAGCAGCTCGTAGAGGAAAGAAGCATATTCGTGCGTGCGTGTTAAAATTAGTTTGAAATTAACTATTAAAATTAGTTTAAAATTAACTATTAAAATTAGTTTAAAATTAACTATTAAAATTAGTTTAAAATTAACTATTAAAATAAACTTAAGGTCTAGAACCTACATTCATATATATAAAAATACTCAAATCAGAAAACGTTATTCTACTAATTAAAAAACTCATGACCTTCCTTCATCTCATGTTTATCTATATGTAATGATATTATTTCATCACTGTTCGTTCCACATAATATTTGTAATGAAACTCTAATGCTCAATTCAACATTTAGATAACTTTTTTATAATAAAATTTTGGATTGCTCAAGTTTGTTTAGCTGTGTTATTCAAATGCTTTTGTATATATTTTGTTTATGAAATTTTGCACAATTTGTTATTATTGGAATGCTTCATTTGTCAACCCAACCATTGATATTATTATTCCGTAACCACGTGGAATAAACAAAGGCCAAATAACAAACGTAGGGAGTTTGTTTTTTTATAATTGTAGATTCAAGTGGAAATGAAAATATATGCTGAACTCAGCAATATTAACATAAACAAACATGAAAATAAAACCAAAAAAAAAAACACGAAGCATTTATGAACCATATAAAAATAAATAAGGATTCGTATGTACCAGTTGAAGTCAACTTAACTTAGCAGATATATGCTTATACACCAAGAGAAATGCAATTTTGGCAAACAGTTTCCCAACCAAAAAAATCAAACATGAGATTATATTTTGTAGCAAAAGTAACAGCAACAACAGAAACAAATTCACCTTTATGGAAGGACTACCCTGAAGATAAGCACAACACGTTACCCTTTTGCAGACGAAACAACATTTCAACGTAACGTGGTATTACGTTTACCCTAGGATGGATGTAGGGCCAGTTGTCTATCCTACGTTACATACATTTGTGCAATTATAATTCCCTTCACCGCAGAGGCCAGTCAACATTAAAGCTTTCCCTTCTTTATTTCTCCTCTATTTGTTTTATATTTCAATCTTTATTTATTTTTTATTTATTTTTATTTATTTTTATTTATTTTTGCTTTCATTTTTATTACATTTCATTTGTTTTATTTTCACCGCTTTGTGTATGAGTGTTGCGCTCGGCTTTAATTTACCATTTTACAATGTCAATGCCTTTTATGCTTGAAGGCGCATTCCATTGCATACAGTTAGGCGCATTGCATACTACTAGGCGCATTGCCATGTTGGCCTCACTTTATGCTCAATGCTTAATGCTGTTTGTTACGTTCTGTAGGCGCGTCAATACAACTTTATGCTGCGAATCGAGAATACGAAGTTGTCTGTTGTTATGAATTGTTGCTGCTACTGCTGCTCGTAGCGTTGCTGCTGCTGTTGCAAGTTGCTGCAGGTTGGTGTTGTTTATTGTTGTTGCTGTTGTTTGCATTTTATTTAACAGGAGTTTCAAAGTTATGTTTAATGTTGAACTGTTTATGTGCGTGCCTCTGTGTATTTTGGAGTCATTCACCGTGCAAATATGATAAAATTTTTTGCTGATGCGAAATTTTTTAAAAATGAAATTATTTTTATATTATTTTTGTTAAAGTTTTGAAGGAATTTTAATTTTTATGTATTCTTTAATAAATATGAATTAATTAAATAATAGCTTAAACATCGTAATGTAGCATTCTGGCGTTCAGGTATCATCCTACCTCTCGTAGTGGCAAATACAAGATATGAAACTACCTTACTATTTCATTTTGTATCAAAAAGTTAAATTACTTTTAAAGCATTTGTTAAAAAGAACTTAAATTTATTTATATTTTATCAAAAATAAAACATTTAAATACATTTTTCAAATACTTTTCTCTTTAGGCTTGTTGAATTTTCCCTTTGATATTATATTTTACCCCTTTTTTTCAATTAAAACTTTTTTTATATTTTTACTTTTATCTATGCTAACCCTTTCATAAATTGTAATTATAATCTACAGATGTAAATATGTAACTGTAGCATACAAAAATTGTAAATAATTTTGTATATTTTATGCCATTTTATGTATTTTGCACTAATACTTCATATACGGATACTTGATTATAAAAATATAATTAAATAATTAAATTATTCACAGGAAATAAATTTGTTATTAAACTTTCACAGAAAATTAACAAAACTCCAGAAAAAAGTGCGAACCTACAAGTCAAATACGACTTTCGGTCAGTTGGAGAATGAACGCTGACTCTAAGCTTCAAATTTGACAGGGCATGAGTTTAATCCCTGGTACTTGCAGTCCCAAAAAATTATTTACGTTTAATTAAATACGAGAAATTATTCCAAGACCACTGATGATGGGTATTTGGCTATACTCGAAACATCTGTATGGTCAGCCAAAAATTCAATTAATTAAAATAATATAAAGATAATTTTTGTTGTTGTAGCTCACTGTTCGAAACTTTTCTAATACAATAATATTTAATATCAATTAATATACTTATATTTTTTCAACTCGCTTAATTCCTGTGACATTGACCTTTAAAGGTATAAGTTTTTATATAAAAACTTTCAGCAAAAATCTGGACGACCCAGATATTTATTGTAATATTTTGATGTCGTTGTGAAAAATATTCTTCTACACGATTAGTGAAAATATTGAGCATTATTTTCCTCGCTTCTGTACCCAGAAACCCATAATTATAAAATGTTCCT